CTACAGTAGATATATGGCTTTAAACTAGCAAGTAAACACTTTTCCAATAGACACCAATGTCTTCAACTCAACAACAGAGTGCTTTCATCCCAGCTTTTATTTTGACATCTTGCCTCCATAGCCCCATGTGGTGAAAATACTGCTTCATAAGGAAGTACTCAGTGTCACACTCATTATCATTATGTTAATAATTAATGTGCAGCTACAGATATACACACATAATTAGAACACAACTTTTTCATTACCATCTGTGTTGCTTCTGTAAAACAAATGTCACAATACCACTTATGCATGATTTGGCATTTTTGTAAAAAACAAAAAAAAACCCATTTATTTTCTTGTGTTCACTACAGTGCAGTAAGTCATGTGGATCAGGCCATCGACAAAGAACCTTGCAATGTGTGGACCGCAACCAGCAGGAAGTCCATGAAATGTACTGTGTGGATCAGATCAGACCTCCAGATATAGAGAGCTGCAACAACTATGCCTGTGAATTCATCTGGATCACAGGGGAATGGACTGAGGTGAGAGTCAAAGAAGCTGTGCGTCATCTGCCTGATCTTAATTTTAAGAAGCAATTTGCTTTGAAAAGACAGTATTTAACTTTTTTAAATCATTGTTGAATTCATTCATATTGAAATGACAGAAATGACCTGTTTTCTGTGAGGAACACTGTGGTTATTTCAAGATGGTGATTTATTCTCCTTTAGTGCTCAGCCAGCTGTGGCCAGGGCTACCGCCAGCGTCTGGTCTCCTGCAGCGAGGTGCATGTGGAGAATGACAACTATGAGTATGACCATCAGTCTTTGTCCAACTGCCCAGGGACCCCCCCTGAGAGCTACATGCCTTGTAATCTGGACCCATGCCCGCCACTGCAGGAATGGAGGGTTGGAATCTGGGGACCAGTGAGCGAGTCCATGTTTTAAAATGTTATCCAGTCATTTATTTTCATTTATTCAAGATGGGGCATATTTCCTAAAAACAAAACAAAACAAAAAAGAGGCTGTGTAAAAAAGATTTTTATAAAGATTTATCAGAGACTGATTGTAATATGTAATGTGCTCTCCAGCTGTGTGACTAGTTAGAATATTTAATTATTTTATAGTAAAATGATTAGTTTGTATCCAATGAGTAAATAATAACATTTATTTAAATGGCCACTTTGAAGAGGAAACCTGCTGACAGACTATTGTCCACGTTTTATTTTAACTGTCGTGGTTTGGTTCCTTCCCTTCAGTGTTCAGCAAGCTGTGGTGATGGAGTGATGGAGAGGACTGTGCAGTGTGTGTCAGCAGATGGCCAGGAAAGCAATAGGTGCTCTCTAGACACCATGCCAAAACCCACAAAGGTCTGCAAAAATCCAGGCTGTGAGTACCAGAGAAAACTGCTGCTCTTTAATAAAGATCAAGGCTATTAAGGTCACATACAGGCCAGTGCATCTCAAAATCCAATTTTAGATATGACTTGACTTGATCCAGTCATCTCTGAGATTTGACTGTAGGTGAAATATTTATGATCTGAGACAAATATCAAACATTTGCTGGCTAGTGTTTTTACCTGCCTAAGGTAGCGTGGGACATCAAAGCATGATAGGATTTTTATTTTCTTCAATTCGATGTATTGATTTGCACACTTGAATTAATTAAATTTGTGAATGCATGCTTGCACATGTGTGTGTGTATACAGCCTGAGCGCCTTGCTGTGATAAGTCTTTGCATAATCCACAGCTCTACTTATTTCTGCTTTTCTGTGTCTCCAAGGCAATTTGCCTTCCAGCTGTCAGGAAGTTCAGAGCATGGAGGGCGCACTCCCAGACAGTGAACACTTTCTCAGTATTCAAGGAAAAGCACTCAAGGTATGATTATGTGATCTTACTGCCTCAAATATGCTCAAAGCACATTCTATGGGGCCATAACAGGTTTTATTCATGAGGGGATAAGGTCAGTTAAAAAGCAGGTCTTCATGTCTTCTTTCTTGATGCTTCAAATGACTTAGACCCTGACAAAATGCTTTCCTGCAGTGTGTATGTGACAGTAAATACTTGCAATAAATGAATCTCTCCTAGGCTGTGTTGAGGCATTCTCTTTGCCCTGTGGTATGGAGGACAAGGTTCTAGCTAGAGGCATATTTTATACACCTTGTGCAGTACATTTCATAAAAAAACTGAGGAAATTTACTGTCTGCAAAATGGATCAGCCAGCTCAGGACATTTTTAGGGATTGTGCACTTTGTGTTTTGCCAGTTTCTGCACAGGTGGGTGGGTGGGGGGGGGCTTATAATTTTTATTGTAACATTCTGTTTATTTTCCTTGACTCTTCAATAGCATTTTTGGTCTTCCTTTCCTCTCTACTATTTCTATTTCTTTCTATTACCTCTATCTTTCACCCTTGATTGAACACTCCTCCTCCATCCTGCCCCCTTCCCGTCCTTCCGCTTATTCCTTCTCCATCTTTTTCTCTTCAGGTCTACTGTGCAGGATTGCAGACAGAAACTCCACAGGAATACATCACCTTGACGACGGGAGAAGGGGAGAATTTTTCAGAGATCTTTGGCTTCAGGTAAAACGGCTAACAGGATGACAATGAAATCAACCTATTCATCCACCCATCCATCCATTATCTACACCACTTATCCTGAATAGGGTTGCAGGGTGGCTGGAGCCAATCCCAGCTGACACTGGGCGAGAGGTGGGGTACACCCTGGACAGGTCACCAGTCTCTCACAGAGCTGACATGTAGACAAACAACCACACACACTCACAATCACTCCTAGGGGAAATTTAGAGTCACCAATCAACCTAAGCTGCATGTCTTTGGACTGTGGGAGGAAGCCAGAGTGCCTGGAGAGAACCCACACAGGCACAGGGAGAACATAAACTCCACACAGAAAGGTCCCGGGTCTGTCAACTCTGACCTAACACAGGAAAATTAAACCATGTCAGGTAACACACTGTGAATACATTACTGACTTATTTGTTACATAAGAAAGCACTCAGCTGACATCTGTGTCATCACTCTGCTCAAAACCACATCACTACAGGTGTCTGTCAGTGTTTCCTGTCCCAGAATTCCTTATCTGGTGATAAATGCCAACAGATGGCAGCTCATTTGTTATCATCATTAAGGAGGCTAACTTGGATTTGCAGGTGTTTACCTATAACAAAAGGCAAAAAGTCTCATATGAAATACCTGCAGTATCTAAAAACATAAAGAGAGGATGATTTCAGGATCCTTACAAAGCAAAAACAAGACAAAAAGCTTTGTCGCCTCTGTCATCACGGTCATTACAGAATGGTGGTGTTGCAAAGAGTCACATCCTTTCAATGAATTTCACACCAACTCTTAAAATCATGGCTTTTTCAACTGTTATAATCATTACCAACATCATCAACTAAACATTCAAGGACCACCCAGCTCATAGCAGCAGTTAGCACAGATTTTCCAGTATGATGGTACAAATTAGGTTTGATCTTACAGGCCATTGAAATGGTAGAATATGAGCTCACTGGCTATAATGATTTACATGCTGTACACTGACATATACTCAGAACATGCAGTTGTTTAGAATAAGTCCAGAATCTGCTCATCTTTGCATATGAACTGTTTTTCTTCCTACATTTCTCAATAGAACCATCACTACAGCTGTGAGCGTGTGTACATGTGTTCTCTATTGAGGTCATCGGAGTCACCCTTCCAGAGTTCTGTGTAGCCAGCGTCATTCAGAGAAACTATCAGCAGTGTAAACTTCACTTCCCCTTCAGATCAGATAACAGACCACTAGGCAGTAGAAAGCTTGAATGAACCAGCCAAGGCTGGTCAGGGATTTCAAAGAGAGAGCCTACATTGTAATTGTGGAGCTTTCAGAATCTTGTTTTCCTCTGTCTCTCCCTCTGCCCCAATCTGGACAGACTTTGTTGGCTCAGTAAACTTGTCTTCATTACAATGCATGTGTAGTGAGTTGGAAAGGAAGCAAGTATTTTGTAGTGCACAGAACACTGAGCCACTCGAAGCAAGTTGTGTTGTGGTGCTGTACAACAATGGTTAAGAGTAAATGATGGACATTATGAGAGAAAAACAAAATTAATTGAAGTGGAGAACAAAAGTAGCTTAATACATAATTGAAACAAAAAGTTGGATTTTAATCACAAACAAGGTACAACAGAGGGCATTTTTCTAACCGGTGGTCTGCAGCCATATCACCAGTTCTGTGAAGCTTACAGGGGTCACAGGGCTGCCGCTTAGAGGCAGACAACCACACACAGCCACACTCACTCCACCACACTCAACCTAAGCTGCATGTCCTGTGGGAGGAAGGCGGAGAGAAAACAATCTATTTCATCAAAAATCAAAAGGACTCATGACAGTGTTTTTTTTTTTCTTCCACTGACATGTATAGTAAAGTACCTTCTGTGTGTGTGTTTTGAAGGCTCAATGACCCCACCCAGTGTCCAGCCAACAGTTCCAGAAGAGAAGACTGTGACTGTCGGAGAGACTACGCTGCCGCTGGCATCACCACCTTCTCTAAAGTCCGCCTGGACATCAGCAAGATGACCATCATCAGTAAGCGAACCACACTCACGCTGACAGCAGATGACACACACAAACACACAGAGCAGTATCCTGTGCCACTGTTAACTCTACATTACTCTCAAATAGCAACTTCCTTTGCTATTTAATTATGTCTGTGCTCACAAGGTTTAATGGGCTCAAGATGTCTTCAGCACTTATTTAAGCAGCACACAATTACAAGGCTTGAGGGGAATAAATGAAACTGCTCCAAGTGGATGGAATTACACTGATATTGCTATTAAACTGACCCTAAAACATATGTTAGATTAAATAACACAAGGCATAGTCATTATGGAAAGTTGACACCAGACAAATGTGGAAGAATGGTTGTTACATAATACTTGATTAGTTTTTACTATATCCTGTTATTTAGCTACAGACTGGCAGTTTGCTTCCACCCGTGAAGGAAAGAGGG